AGCACAGGAGCTTGCTCCAGGTGGCCTGAGCTCAGACAGGAAAGAGGGCTGCAGGCCTCCCTCCCCTCGCATGTGGGCAGCCCTAGCAGGCGAGGGGAATCACTGCTGTGCACGCGCTTTTCTGGTCCCCTTCCTTCCAGTTCTGCCAGCACCAGGAATTGCAGGAGGACATAACTGTTTCATCTTCAGAAAAATCTGATATAATTCAAGTTAGGTAAAGCTTTCCTTAGGTAGTTTTTAAACTATCTAACAATCACACAATACACACACACACACACACACACACACACACACACACACACACAGAGCCAAGCAGCTAGGGCTACTGCTACGATGCTCCATACACGAGGTGATATAAGCAACAGATACTTAGTCTCTTGCATTTTGGAGGCTAGAGTCTGAGATGGCGATGAAAAACGGCCTTGCCTCCCTGCAGACCCACATGGGCTGTCTCCGGCCTCACCTGGCTTCTGTTCTCGGCCAACAATCCCAACAACCCTAGGGTCTGTGGACTTGGAGCAGCGCCTGTCACCTGCGTTGGCCATGTGGCGCCTCTCGTGTCTGTCTTCTTAGGAGGACGCTGGCACACCCTAGCCACCTCAGCTCACCGGGTTATGCCTGCAGAGGTCCACTTTCCAAACAAGCTGCAGGGCTGGCACCTCAGCGTGCCACACTTTGGGGACACACACTTCAGCAGATAAAAGCAAGATCACTGGAAGGAGGAGTCCATGCATCAGCACACAAGCAGGTCCCAGGGACAGCGAGGGACACCAGAGGAGAGCACAGGGCCTGAGAGGAGGCGGGGGGGGGGCAGGTGCCTCCAAATGGCCATCTCGATGCTGAGCGCCTTACCCTTGCCCTGTCAACAGGAGCTCAGGAGCGGGAAAGTCTCCCCAGGCCTCTGCTCCCTCCTTCCAGCTCCAGGCCACTCATACCCAGGTGGGACACTTCTGGCCTGAGAGGTCACTGAGTGTCTCAGGTCAGAGGGCCAGGAAGTCCCATCCCATGCTCCTGGCGAGGGTGACCCAGTAGAAGAACATTTCTGGCAGGACGTCCAGATGTCTGGAAGGATCTGAGCCTCGAGGGATGAAGTTCAGGGAGGAACTGTGAAAGACCCAGCCAAGTGTCTTTCTTAGTTTGGCCTAAGCAATGTCTTCACCTGGATGTCATTAGCACTGCTGGAAACCCTTGTTCTTCCGGGAAGACCTGGCCTCACTCAGGTGTGGGAGGCTCCTTGGTGGCCCCGTCCAGGGTCCACAGCTTTGAGGAACAATCTTCAAGATGGAAAGGGCTGGCAGGCGACAGACAGCCCTGCTCACCTCACGGGCTCTCAAGGCATCACAAGAGCCCTGAGATCGCCTGGCCTCCTGTCCTGATCATAGCACCAGGCAAACACCCTGTATCTGGCACCCAACCTGGCCAGGCTAGCGGGTTCCTCTGCAGTCTCCCCGTCCTGGGACCTTGGACTGCTGGAGTAACCTTCTGTCATTTAAATTCTTCTTTACCCACCTGAAAACACTGAGAAACTGGCACTGAGAGACCAAAGTTTTTATATTATAATGTATCCTCTTATTGGAACCTTTTGGAATACACATGCATAAGCCAACATAATGGATAATTTCTATTTTTTAATTGTGTTTCAAATGAGTAGCTAACGCTTTCTGAGACTAGAAACAAATAGAAAGGAAATGAAATCTGGTAACTAATTTAACCACATGTGAGAGTGAGCGATTTATTTATTTATTTTTGATACCTGGGATCGAACTTAGAACCAAGCAGGCACTGTGCCACTGAGTTAAGTCCCCATCCCTGAGAGTTTATTTTCAAGGGAGAATAAATTCAATGAAAATCTAAATAGGTTTCTACATAGAATTTCTTTGCTAGCAAATTAAATCTATACTGGACTGAGGGAAGGCTTCTTTTTAGGCAGACTTTCTCTCATCAATTTTCCTATACAGATACTTCTGGGACCTGGAATTTAGTAGCACTGCTATTTTGTCCAAGAAGTCTGACCTCTAATTGTCTGTGCCTGTGTGTTTCCAGTTGTTTAGTCATTGTTTGAGGGCCAAAATGTGGTCACTAATACTCCACCGAACAAACCAAAGGGTTTGCTGTTAACCAACGAAAGAGAGGCAGGGCGAACGGCAAACCACCCAGAATTTCCCGACAACAGCGGAGCTCTTGTGAGCATCCAGGGTCTTGGAGAAGGGGCTTGGGGCACAGGTGAGCACTCCCCCAGGACAAGGGTGTGAGATGGCAGTGAGCTGGATGCTGCTGCGTCTCCAGGACTCCAAGCCACCGGCAGGCACTGCAATGCCCATCAATTATGAGCTGCAGCGGCAGCACCCGTCCAAGGCTCCGTCCTCAGCCCTGCAGACCCAGGCTGGAGACGCTCTGCGGCCCGCCGGCATCCTATGGCCACTGTCCTTGACCTGTGCTGTAGCACACGCTGTCCCAGACTCAGGCCTGCTGTCCCAGTGATCAGGTGTTCAGGAAATACGACTGTGTATTCTGTCTGTGGCGCGTGTGTGGTGGGGAGGAAACCACAGTTTCCCAGCAGAGCAGACGCACCCTCGGTCCCCTCCTGGGTCCCACGGACCTGAAGGAGAAGTGCCAGAGCTAGGAGGATGGCGGTGAGGTGGCTCCAAAGAGCAGGCGGCGAGACGGACCACACCGCTGGCCGCTTGTCTTCCTGCTCGTCTGACCCTCTGTTCAGAACTGTCCCAAAGTTCCTAGTGTGCCACTGTACTGTGTTTGAGATAAACATTTTGAGCAGAATCTCAGTCTTGCCAAAGAGGCCCTCTGTGAGGCGACATCTTTCCCAAACACTGTGTACACACAAGCAGAATCTCACAGCGTTTACAGCCAGCCGTGTTGGCAAGCACTCGCTGTTTCATTGTAATCTGACCACGCAGCATTTCATGTCAGTGCCTACGACAGGCCTGTGTGGCGCCTCCCAGACAAATACACCAAGGCCTTTTCTTCTTCCCGATAGGAGCAACAACTCAAACATTCCCCTGCAAGTAACAGTGAGGGAACACCTGCGCACAGTGCAAATCTGTTGCTAAGATGTACTTCAAAATAAAACCAGTAACAGTTTATACTTCTGTCAATTAATAAAAACGTTTCCCTAACACGGTGACCCCAAAAGTGTCTCATTTTCACTTTCACTTTGCTAATTCTTTGTGTATTTGCACTTAGTTTCTGTAACCGTAAGGGGTTCTCTTGGGTATTCTGAATTAGGTTTGCTTTCTTCCCAACACTTTGTAAGTCCTCTTCCTGTGTCGTAGATGTTGTATAGATTGGAAAGACACTTTTTCAATATTGTTACATGTATGGGAGGCACCTGGGTTCAAAAAGCAAAACAACAAAAACTCTTCTCTCTCTACCTGCATGGATCTGTATATGTGCATCTAGTTTAAACTTCTGGTTCCTGTTCATAATAACTTGATAAAAATGTGTCCGTCAAAGGTAGAGAGCAGGCTCACACTGCTGCCTCTGACGTATCTTCCCCAGGCTCCCAACCCTTCCTCATGCAGCTCAACACGTACGTATACAGGGACATGTGCAGAGCACGGAGGCGGCATTGCTTTAATATAAGTTAACAGGTTTTTGTTTTACATCTCCAAGTTTTGAGCTTCCCTTTAAGTGCAGTTTGAAGAATTTTGCTGGCATGCCTTGTACTGGGAAGTAGCTTTACCTGCACACCCTTAGGGTAATTTATAATTACACACCCAAGGCACACACACAACGCACACTCAGCCTTGCCTGGCTTCCTGATGCCAAGAACTCTGAGGCAGGCGGGAAGAGCGTTTGTTTGAGCCACCGAGTTCCAGAGTCGGAAGCAGCTCACCTCCTCCTCGGCACCGCGTGGATGGGAGCCGATCTGCCTTTGGCATTCTTCAACGCAGTGAGGCTAAGTTAAGTTTAGCCAGCTTACTCAGCTTTGTTCTTGACTATTTTTAGGCTTCTTTTCCTCACCCTATTTTATGTTCACAGTTCTCTTGAAGTCCTAAAATATTCAATTAACTTAGGCAAACACATCTTAGATTGTGCTGCTGGAGCGCACTTTCTCTTCGGATACCTACATTCGGTAGATTTCCTCTTAGATAAAATACATCCTCTCATTTCTCATAGAAAGCACCCATGCTGAAACCATCTGGACTCACATAATTACGTTTCCATCAGCTCTGACTCTGACTCAAAGACATGTATGTTTAAGGTTAGTTTTACGATTTCTTTGTTCTTTATGATGCGCCAATGTTCACTTTTTCTTCTGAGTTCTTGCTTAGTTTTGTCTTTTTCTGGTAAGCTGTGCTGCTGACTATACCTGACAATTTTTGTGTCCAAGCATGCTTGGCGAGTGGCTGAGGTGTGACATATTTCCCACCCTGACCTAGTGTTTCCTTTGCTGGCAGCTCCCCTATTTGGGGGAGTGAGGATTCTCTTGCACTGTGTCTGCTCTCTTGCATGTAGTCTGGAGCTGCTGGCTTCCACTGGGTTCTGGGCCACCCTTCCCACAGCCTCACTAGGACTCTGCGAACACCAACGTCACGAGGGAGCCCCAACCCTCAGATGAGATTCACCATGAGTCCATATCTGGGACACGGGCGTGGAGTCCTCCCCTTGGGTCACTGTTCGTGCTGCGTCTGGCAGCTCCTGGCCACTTCTCATCATGTGACAGAGGCTTTGGCATCTGAGCTGCTGCCTCTATGAGCACGGCCCCAGGGCTCGGACTTTAGGCTGGTGCTGCCCAGGGAGGGCGCTGACCCTTGCTGGCCCTGCATTCCAGAAGACAGCTGGCACCTGATGGGCCCTTTTTTCCAAGTGATTTTTTCTCTGTTCTGCCTCATAGCCTGTATTTTTACTCTCTCTTTGGAGCATTTCTAAAATCACTGTCACTCTTTTAGAAATTTATCTATATTTGGGATCATGAGTTTTCACTCTGGTTTTTTTTACCAGATTGGCTCCTCTAAGAATGTTTTTTTTTTTTTTTTTTTTTTTTTCCTTTTTTTGGTGGGGAGGGTGTTCTGCTGATTCCCCGTTTTTTGTTCAATAACCTCCAGAATTTGTTTTTGCACAGTGTATCTCCCTGGCCATTTTCATGACACATGTGGCCCAGGTTGGGGTTCAGATCTCTGGCATTTCCCCAGCTCCCTTCTCTATGAAGCAGCTCCATGGCTGTGATTCAAGGTTTAGGAGAGACTGTGGTTTTTACTATCACTAACAGCTTACTCCTGGCCTTCCAAATGTCAAATGGAATGAAACGTAACCACCTCTTGGCCTCTGGTTAGCAGCCGGTGTGAACCAAGTGTACCTGACCGAAACTGCTGCTCACTGTTGGAACCTTTCTGCTCAGCTGAGAAGAATGTCTGCGGCAAGACTTTCAATAGCATTCACAGGTTTAATTATGCATATACACGAGTTAATTGGTATTATCTCACATTTAGTATTTACAGTAATTAGAAAACACTTTACCTATCTATTCACTAGCTGTCAAAGGGAGAGAAATCGAGTCTCTCTCGCAGTGAGAAGGGCTGATCACAAGAGCTTTGGCTCCGCCTCTTCTCTGCATCCACTCCTGTGGGACATCAATGAGCCAGGCCACCTGGCCCGCCGGAGCACTCCTGGGCTGGCACGCAGGTAAGGAGCGGGGCCCACTATGGCTCAGGGCTCTTTCCCTTTGTTTCCTGCCAAGACAGCCACAGAATGGCAGGCAACAGTGAGTGGGTGGACAGCTCTGGTGTCCAGCCAGGCACTCAGGGAAGCTGAGGGCCTCGGGAAAGCTCCCACCTGGGAAGGGACCAGAGCCCAGACTGAGTCTGTGATTCAACCTGGGGAGAAAGCCCCCCACCAGTCAGTCCCTTGCAGCTCCATGGGCTGAGTTCTCTGAGATGGGCTACATCCTGCGTGGGCCTAAAAATGCATATCCACAGCCTCGGGGCACTTTGGAGCATCCAGCATTAACCTGCAGGACAAGGCCCTAGGGACAACCTTGCTCTAGAAAATCAAATCTGCACTGGCAATGCTGACATCAGTGATGCGCTTACAAAGAATAGGATGCAAAGTAATAAGAACTTTGAAGAGCTCCAATCCAGTTCTCCAAATGAGCTCCAGACACGCCGAACAACACGCCCATGTCACTCAGAACCCACAAGACTTCCACACGCTCATGCACAGGAAGACTCCAGAAGGCATGGTGAAAACAAAAGCGAGAATTTGTCACATATACAACTGGTCAATGCAGTACCTCTTTCAAGGAAAATTAAGAGCTGAGTCTAAGCACTGATAGGCTAAGTAACTGAAGTTTGGACTGAGGAGGTAGCTCAGTGACAGACCACCTGCCTGCAGGCACAAGGCCCTGGGGAGCTAAGAACAAAAGCAAGAACATTAGAATTACTTAGGGTTACTTGCAAAATTTTAATTTGTACTTATAAAGAAATAAAAGTAGTTAGATTTCCATGAATGCTGTATTGTTTGCAGACATGTCTCAAAAAGCTTGGACTTATAGATGATATTGTAAGTACTAAGAAAACTGTGACTAGGAAATTAAATGCTTTTTAAGTAATTCAGAGTTAACATTGACATGTACATGCATAATGCGTACACCATGTATGTATGGATCTTGTCATGCTTTGTGTTGTAAAACCATCAATTGTAGCCATAGATTTTTCAGCAAAAAAAATGTGTATTTAAATTTTTCATAATAAAATTCCTCGGATGAGGTAGAATTGAAATTGTATTTTTAAAAATTTTTTTTGTATTTTTTTGGTGTGGGGGGATCAAACTCACAACCTGGTGCTTGCCAGGCAGGCACTTGCGCTGCAGAGCTAAATCCTCAGCCCTAGAACTGAAATTTTAATTTCATGTTTTCAGAAAAAAAAAAAAAAATCAAGACCCACCATGTTTCAGTGTGCTAGTTCCCCAATTTGGGGGAACGGAAGGGAGCTCTGCAGGGGACTCCTTGGGCAGAGCCAGTGACTCCTCTCCCAGCAAAAGTAACTAAAACATAAAAATAAATAAGCACGTGTATACATGATGCAACGCACGGATGAAAGTAAGTTTCCAAGTCAGAACTGCAGAGGCTCCCGTCTGCAAGCCTGGACATTTAGGAGGGAGGCTCTCCCTGGGGTCTGCCATCATGAATTGTCACAAATGCGTGGCTCAAAGCCAGAGAACTTCACTGTCACATAGCCGAAGGACAAGCTCCAGGATTGAGGCGCCAAAGCCAGCTTTGGAGGCTCTGCGAGAGAAGCGCTCCTGGTCTCCCCAGCTTCCGAGGCTGCAGGCGTCTGTGGGTTGGACTCGTCATTCTGCCTGCATGGTCACCTGGTCTTCCCCTGTGTGACTTTCTTCTCCTAGTAAGGATGTCGCCACAGGGTCCAAGGCTTACCCCAAGTCCAGGATGACCTTGTCTTGACTTCATTGAATCTGCAAAGACCTTATTTCCACACAAGGTCACATTCTGAGGTGTTGTGAAAAAACTTCAGGGGGGCAAGAAGCAGAAGGTAGACACAGCGAGGGTAAATGAAGGGAGAAAGGACCAAAGGGAAAAGGACAACAACGGAGCCTTCATTTTACATAATGCTTTATTCACCCCGAGTCACTCTAAAACTGAGGAAAAATACTTAACTTTTTGGATAGCTATTAACAAGTGATTCTAAATATTTCCAAAGTTATGAATCAACAAAAAGGTTTATTATGAGTCTCAAAAGCTAATCCATTTTGGAATTGAGACACTATAACCAGTTTTGGATGGTATATAATGTTTTATTTTTTTTACATTTTTCTTCTTTATGCTTTTATTACATAACAACAATTAGCAAATTCTTAGTAAAGATATTGCTTCTTTGATTTCTGCTACATATTATTACCATTACTATTATTCTTTCCTACTAAATATTTTCAAAGTCCAGAGATCTCAGGCCTTTCTCAAAATGGTCCTCCAAAATGATGTGACTGTCACCCTGAATGTAATCTGTGTCCATTCCAATTAGAAGTGACCTTTGTAGGTGCTGTGTCAGAAGATTTGTGAGATTAAGAACAAGGCCACGGCTTTTGACTTTTGTCTGTTGCCCTGATAATGCTGGTGCCCCATGAGCTCACTGATTAGTCACCTGTTACGGTTTAGATCTAAAACACCCCCCAGGAGATTCATTCATGTATTTGGAGGTGGGGCCTCATTGGAAGAGACAGGTCACTGGGACGTGATCTGCAAGGGTACATTCTTGTTCCTGGCCTCTCCCTTCTTTCTCTGCTTCTTGGCTGCCATGGGGTGAGCAGCTTCCTCCACCATGGCATTCCACCATGCCACTTCTGCTTCGGAGACTGATGACCATGGACTGAAACTCCTGAAATCACAAGCCAGCACAACCTCTCCTCTGAGTTGCGGGTGTCGGGCATTCTGACCCAGCCATGGGACAGTGACTAATACACTCCTTTTCCGTAAAGGCAAGTAATAAACTCATTCTCCTGCAGTCACGCCAGTGCTACTTCAAAGCAGAAAGCGGTAGATACCGGGCGCTCTTCTGAGTGTGCAGTTTCCCCAGCCTGCAGGCTCCTTGTCAGGGGTTCTTCTCAGTAGCCAGTGCAGCAGACTCCTCTTCTGTGACTGTCCATCGCTGGGTGGGGCCCTGGGACCCTGTGTGAGGAGCATGGCAATGGTAACCAGGCACCGACACTGGGCGCACAGGGCCACGTGGGTCCTGTACCTACTCAGGGAAGGGCTGCTCAGCCCTGCCCCTTCATGTGGGTGACCTTTCAGAAACACACACCTCTGAGGGGGCTGCTTCCAACCCTTCTATGCCAGGTTTCCACAGAGGAGGCCTGCACTCTGCAGTCCATGGTGAGAGGCGGGTCCTCTGCCTGTCTGGACATCTCAGGGCCTCCAGGATTCTACAGCGCTTCCGAGAGCTCGAGGTCAGCCACTCTCCCAGAAGAATGGTCACGCTGAGCACAGACCCTGAGGGCCACGTGGCACCAGGCTTGAGATCCTTTTACCAACCAAAAGAAGGCCCTGATTAGTGTCCTGAGGTACATATGTGCCCCAGGAAGATGGCAAGTCCGAGTCCAGCCTGGGTCATTAGCAATTCAGAGAGGTCCTGTGTCAAAGTGAAAAATGACTAGGGAAATAGCTCAGAATGAAGGCTCTGGGTTCAATCACTACTGCCCTGCAAGAAAATAAATAAGTGAATAACACACACACACACAAGCAGATCTAGTCAACCCACGTGGTTAACATACAAAAGTCAAATGTTACTTACTCTGTTGGGTTTACAATGAAGTGCTCTCTCCATCGCGGTGTCAACACACAGCACCTGTGGGGCTCAGGTTCCAGTGGCTTCCACGAGGGATCCTGGGTTGCTTACTGACCTCTCGCCCCTCTAGGTCGTGCGTAGCATTCTCCACCATCAGGCCTTTTAAAAGGCGAATCTCATTTCAACAGAACCAGAAGCAGAAAGCATCCAAGTCACAAAGTCCACATAAGCCCAGCAAAGTCCAGGGGCAGCCACACCCACGTCAGTGAACGCTCCTGGCCAGCACTATCGTGTCTGCATGTGCGCATCAGAGCATGCGCAAATCAGCACAGGCGCATGTCAGGCATGCGCAATCCACACCCGGGAGTCAGCGCATGCGCATTCGTCAGCGCGGAGCCAGGCGGAGCCCGCTGGTGCTTGCTGAGGCGCACAGGTACAGTTTACAAACGTGACCCGCCTGCTACGGGAGAAAAGGTGTGCTCGCTTGTTTTGCTGAATAGAGGACCCTCTTAAAACACAGCGTTTCTGAGGGAGAGGGCAAAGCTTGAAGGAGGGTGGGGAGAGACGCTGATTCACGGCAGCCGCAGAGACACAGAGTTCCCGAAGGTTCTCTCAATGAAGGCCCCAGCTGAAGCCTGGAGGAGGAGGAGGAGGAGGAGGAGGAGGGGAATCCCGACTCCTTCCTCTGGCCGGCTGGCCCCTCTGTTGTCCATGGCTCTATCAGGACGAGGCTGTGAGGGCGCTGGGGACTGGTGAGGAGCTGCAATTTCAGGGTGTTTGCTTTCCCAGTCAAGTTAATTACAATTCTCAAGCCTGACCCTATTGAAGCTAAATAATGTAATTAAAAAGACTGTTTTCCACCTATTCATAATAGCATTTACAGTAACGTGTTTTCTCTGAAATTACAAAATGGTTTCCATTTTTAAACTCCTCGTTCATGATTTTCTGCTTCCAACTCTCTGATCAGCTCCTTTCAGGAGCATGCTTCCTAATGGGGAGTAGTTGTCCCACTTACTGTAAATACAGGACAGAATTAATAGGCGGTGCTGTCAGAAGGTCAGTGAGCTAGCTGACGGTTTTCAGCCTGCTGGTTTCATTTCGGAGTTCCTAAAAAGGCATAAAATAAAGAGTGGCCTTATAATTGATGGTTTGTTATCTCATTTTTCAGTGTATTGTTAAGATTAAGTTACTGTATATTGTATGTAAATATATTGTGTATGTGTATAAAAGCCTATATAATAACTTGTAAATAATTCTTTAGTTTGCATTGTTGTCACCTTGAGTACCTTGAGTGTGCATGGTCAGTTACCCATATGACCCATGGTTTGGTCCAGTCTGTGAATCTATAACCATTCAAGAAGAGTGTTGGGTATTTCTCTATTTTTTATATTTTAAAACAAGTTCACATGAAGTTCATAGAAAAGGTAAATTTGTCATTTCGAGCTGCAACCTTAAGAAGAAAGACAATGGGGAAAGAAATAGCTGTAAGGTTACTGTAATGTTCTAAAGAGATGGCAATAAATTGCCGGGACATTTTTATGGAGTTTTTTAACCCCTGGCCTTTGGAAAGGGGAAAATCAATAAGATATTAAGAAAATCATGAATTAATGTTTCCTAGAATGCAGGCATCAGTAAGGGCTCTGGGGTGTGGATAGATGTCCAGACCAGCAGCCTGCACCCATGGAGGTGGAACGTCAGTGACGGTCTGTGAGGGGCCATGTCAGCCATTGTGCACGTGTCAGTGGGAGACTTCGTAGTGCACAAAACTTAGGATGCTGCCTGGGATGTTAGCTCCTCAGAGGAAGTGAGGGACGATCCTTTTACTTGAAGTGAGATCACTTTTGGGAGGCAGTTTGTAAGGACTTCTCATTCACTCACGTGGTATCTGACACCCTGAGTCGTGGGATTGCATGTGGTATAAATGATGTCTTTGGACCTCAGGTAAGCTTGGCAGAAATGGCCATTTTAGTGGTCACCAGCGCAGCTCTTGGCAACTTCCTTCTTCTCCATGGGGTTGCCTTTAGAAGTCAGATCAGACCCTCTGTCCCCGAAAGGGCATTTCCATCCCATTCCTTCCTCCTCCAACCTCCTCCTCTCCTGCACAAGATGCCTCAGCAGAGATCTGGTGGGCAGGTGAACCTCCAGAAATGGAGGTCAGGACTCTACCCTGTGAGCTATCATGTCTCTGCACCAGGGGAGGGCAATTGTCCTGGACACTCAACAGATGGACAAGGACATACCAGGCCCAGAGCCCAGTGTTTCTCCACCAGCGCCTCATCCTCCAGAGGCTTGAGGAGCACAGGACCGTACTGTTCCTCAGTTTGCAGTTGAGGAAGCAAAGGCCCTAGTGTCCTGCCTGGAGTCAGAGTTGGGACTTGGCTTCGGCTGTCAAGTCCCAATGGAGAGCATGCAGGTGTTAGTTCTTGGGTCGTGGGTGGGGTTGGGTCCCTAGTGTGCATTTTCTCTTTTCACAATCACATTGTGGAGGCCTCATG